GCAAACCAATAATAATTCTCTCTCATCATTGATGTTTCTATCTCTCCCTCCCTCTTCCTTCCTCTCTGAAATGAATAAAAATATTTTTCTAAACAAACAAACATGAGGTCTTTGAACTGAAATCAGTGCTATCCATCACAGTGAACGGTTTTTCTTTGTTTCTATTGGCTGTGAGCACTTTCTATAAACTTGAACAAACTGCATTTTAAAAGAAGATTTTTTCACCTCTATCCCTGGCAAGGAGAGACAGAGGAAAGATTGGCCCTGACACCAAAGATAAACATGCTTATTACTATGGTTCTTTGGGTTGCCACAGGTGAAGCAATGCACGCAAAATGGAACATATATCTAGATATCATTATCATAGATATCCTGTAGCCAATGGTATCACTATTATAATGTGTTTAAAAGTCATTAGCTACAAAGGGGTTTTAGAACTCGTGCTGTAATTAGATGCAGGCCTGTTGGGGAGGGTGATTGCAGTGCTGGGTGACAGGCTGGTACAAGAGGAGACAGCTGAAGTCCATGGAGGGCACACAGGTAGGTCAGTCTACAGGTCGTTTCCTGACAAGTGAGCTAAGGCAGCTTCTTCAAGGGGTGGAAGACTGAGCTCACATCTTAACCAGGGAAATTTGAGTGCAAGAGCAGAATCCCATAGAAAGGTAAATATAACAAGAATCGAAAAGAACTCTGTAGAAAGATGTGCTTGGGTTAATGCCCCGAGGCTGCAAGGAAAAGAAACTCCACTCCCCAAGGGTGCAGGGAGACCAGGAGCACATGGATCGGATCATGCTGGTCATTATGAGAACAAGTTCTGGAAGCTGCTAAGGCCAAAGCGGATTGTTTCATCCCTGATGGCCTCTGTCGTTTTGCTTCTCTCCGTGCCCCTCTGATTCTATTTTACCATTTAGAAAGTGTAAACGTAAAATCCATGGAAACCTGTAAAGAAATTTTGTGAGTTTATTTGAGCGAAACTGTCGACATATGCCAGGAAGCAGAACCTCAACGAGTTGAGATAATGCTCCGGAGACTGGAGGGTTACATCTGTATTTATACATTTGCAATCAAAGGAAGGGATGGATATAGGTGGGTTACATGAAATTCACTGGTGATAGACTAGAGAGGCGGGAGAAAGCAAAGCGCGGGGGGGGGGGGCGGGGGGACCCCTGGGATTGCATAAAAAGTAAAATGATAGACACATACTTAGGTGGGTGCAGGAACAATGAACATGATCACAATGAAGGAATTTGTGGTCTCTGTCCTGGCACCTAGCACATTAGGTTGTGCCCCAAGGGGTCCAAAAAAAGGGAAGTTACAAGTTACCCAGACATTTCAAAGTATATGTTATTATAGATGCAAAAAGGCAGAGGCTCAGTTAAGGTAAAGGTTGACCTTGTCAGTGAAGATACCGGCCTAGGAGGTGACTGCCCACCATAACTGCTTTAGTTAAAGTTTAATTTCAGACCGTCCTTTGTGGTGACTTCAGGTCTCTGAGTCTGCAAGACTGCCATGCAAGCACTTCCCTGAACCTGTCAGGTTAGCACGTGGCCCCTTTCGTCCACACAAGCATTCTCTATTTGCACATGGCCCAACTCTGAGGTTGTGTTGAACAATCTTACAAGCCCCAATCAATTATGCTATTTCCTATGTTTTCTAATTCAAGTTTTTAGAGTAAGAAAGAGAGAGAGAGAGAAAGAGAGAGAGAGATTGATTGATTGGCTGTCTCAGCCTGTGAATTGATTCCCAGCTTAACTTTGAATCAGTTCTTTTTGGATAGAGCGGGGGGGTGGGGCGGGGGGACCCCTGGGATTGCATAAAAAGTAAAATGATAGACACATACTTAGGTGGGTGCAGGAACAATGAACATGATAACAATGAAGGAATTTGTGGTCTCTGTCCTGGCACCCAGCACATTAGGTTGTGCCCCAAGGGGTCCAAAAAAAGGGAAGTTACAAGTTACCCAGACATTTCAAAGTATATGTTATTATAGATGCAAAAAGGCAGAGGCTCAGTTAAGGTAAAGGTTGACCTTGTCAATGAAGATATCAGCCTAGGATGTAACTACCCACCATAACTGCTTTTAGTTGAAGTTTAATTTCAGACTATGCTTTGTGGTTACTTTAGGTCTCTGAGTTTGCAAGACTGGCATGCAGGCCTTCCCTGAGCTTGTCAGGTTAGGATGTGTCCCCTTTCATCTCAAAGCCAC